GTTTGTGGAGTCCTCGGTGCTCTCTGAGCCGGGTGGTTTGCTTGCAGGCGCTTCATGACCCAGCTAGGTGGCATCGTCGGGGCTGGTGAGTGTGGGGTTTGCTCCCTGTTTATATACAGTGGCTTGCCCTGCCCGTGTTGGTGGGGTGTGGTTTTCTCCTTGGTGGTTCCTTGGTTGGGGTATTGTTTTCTGCTTGATCGTTTGTCTGCTGCTAATCCCTGCTTATCTGGGTGTTGTTTGCTGGAGGGGTTGTGTTCTGATGGCTGATTTGCATTTTTGAATTTAGCTTGGTCTAGGATGCTGACAGTTTCCCAGCTGAAACGATGGTTGAGTCTGTCCGTGTGTGGTAACATGAGGGAGTTTTCATCGTGTCTTCTGACTGCCAGTTGGGGCTCGTGGATGCGCTCTGCCAGCCTTCTGCCTGTCTGCCCTACGTAGTCTTTGTTACAGTCCTTGCACCGTAGGTTGTAGATGGCTCCTGTTTTTCCTTCTTGGGCTACTGGGTCTTTTGGTTTGCTTCAGATGTTTGGGAGGGCCTTCGTTGGTTTGTGTGCTGCGGAGATGCCGTGTGGTTGTAATAGTCTGTCGGTGGTTTCTGAGATGTTTCTAAGATATTGGTTTAGTTTGTGTGTAATTGATGTTACAAGTTTTTTGTCCTTTTTTGAGGTCTTTCTCAAAGGCACGCACACTCAAACACACATCATGCCTGCCATCACAATATTGCTGTTCCCTTGCTTTCTTCATTTGGGATCTTGCAGCCCTGATCCAAACCAGGACTACTACATTTTTCAAAAACAATCCATTATTAAAAAAAAGGTGGTGCTGGCAATGGGGCAATCCCACCTCTTGAACTGTAAATAAGTAAACTAATAAATAATAATCATAAGGTCTAAAGTTTAGGGTTCAGATAAAAGAACTCCAAGCATTTAGACCAGTGTTTCTCAACCTTGGCCACTTTTAGATATGTGGGCTCCAACTCCCAGAATTCCCCAGCCAGCCATGCTGAAAGTTACTCTCAGGCCATGCTGGCTGGGGAATTCTGGGAGTTGAAGTCCACATATCTTAAAGTGGCCAAGGTTGAGAAACACTGATTTAGACCCTGTATCCAATTAAAAGCTCATGTTGTTCCTTACAGCAATTTTTCTCCCAGTTCCACTGTCACACACTTCCTTTCCTGCTGCTGAAACTGGTACCACCCTTCTCCTATCATCACTTCTTTTCACACTGCTTTTCTGGAAATAGGCAGCATCAAGATTTACCATTTACTTTCAGGCAGAGCCTCTCTGGACTTTTCCTGGACTAAATCTTTTTCATCAGCCTCTTGGATTCCCAATTGCCCTTTTCTGTCTT